TTCAAGGTCACAAAGTCACTCATAAGGTCACTTTGCTTGAATTTCTTTAAAAAAAAATTTGCATGAATTTTCTTTTTTGTACACCGAGTTTCGTTAGGCATGCCATTTCACAAAATTTTCTGAATATTACTTGTCCTGCTTGTGTTCCAAAACTAAAATGTCATTTTGGTCCAAACTTGGAGATTATGCAAAAAGACAAGCAGCCAATTTTTTCTGGCAATTTTCTACAAGGAATTTTAGAGAGAAAAAAAATCAATGGATTCTGAGAGGTGACTCAGCAATGGTACTTATTTCACTGCTACAGTTACAATAAAATCTCCAATATATTCTTTTGACAAGACAATTTTTTTTTTTATTATCTATGAATTTTTTGTGACCAGACATTTAAATGCTTGAATCAAACTGTAGGTATTACCTATATATACACCTATCATATTTAGATAAAAAATTAAAACTTATCCACAATGACACAAACTATATTATTGCATTCCTGACAACAAAATTTGGACGTGCGGTACAGTTTTTGTACAGTACATGGTGTGATTGATGCTGGCAAGCTTGTCCAACTATGAAAAATACCAGTTTATCAATGGGTCCTAAATACATGTTTGCATTCCAAGATGTCACAAATAAATTCAAACTGCTGCTCATGTGGTGTGATCATTCGGATGCAGTAGATAGGACTTTTTACATTGCTGGATTACACATTTATACATATACCAAAGACAAAAAACACATTTGTTTGAAAAAAAATAACAGGCCACTGATTTTTTTTTTTTTTTTAAAGCAAGAAAGCCAGACATATAATCGGTTTTATGTATTTGAATCTCAATTTGAATGGCTGTAAATTTTGAAGTTTCTAGATTTGCTTTTTGAATGTTCAAATGTACATTTATCATTGATTCCAATGTTTGGCACTCTATCATGACAAAAGCAAACCTAGCTGTGAATATGATCTCTTCATTCCATAATAAAACCTTATTGGTTCTGAGCTTTATTTATTTAATAATTTTGGTTTTGATTCAGAACTTTTAAAACTATTTTTCAAACACATCCTTTTTCAAAGTTATTGATTTCTTAAAAAAATAACAATTGAATTCTTAGGATTTGCCATGCAGAACAGTATATGACTATTACCATTGATACAGGGGTAGGCTACTATTACCATTGTTACAGGGGTAAGCTACTATTACCGTTGTTACAGGGGTAAGCTACTATTGCCAATGTTACAGGGGTAAGCTACTACTACCAATGTTACAGGGGTAAGCTACTATCACCATTGTTACAGGGGTAAGCTACTATAACCATTGATACAGGAGTAAGCTACTATTACCATTGTAACAGGGGTAAGGTACTATTTCCATTGTTACAGGGGTAAGCTACTATTTCTGTTGTTACAGGGGTAAGCTACTATTTCTGTTGTTACAGGGGTAAGCTACTATTTCTGTTGTTACAGGGGTAAGCTACTATTTCTGTTGTTACAGGGGTAAGCTACTATTGCCAATGTTACAGGGGTAAGCTACTACTACCAATGTTACAGGGGTAAGCTACTACTACCAATGTTACAGGGGTAAGCTACTACTACCAATGTTACAGGGGTAAGCTACTACTACCAATGTTACAGGGGTAAGCTACTATTACTGTTGTTACAGGGGTAAGCTACTATTAACATTCATACAGGAGTAAGTTACTATTACCATTGTTACAGGGGTATGCTACTATTACCATTGTTACAGGGGTATGCTACTATTACCATTGTTACAGGGATTAGTCTTAGGATTTGCCATGCAGAACAGTATATGACTATTACCATTGATACAGGGGTAGGCTACTATTACCATTGTTACAGGGGAAAGCTACTATTACCATCGTTACAGGGGAAAGCTACTATTACCATTGTTACAGGTGTAAGCTACTATCACCATTCATCCAGGAGTAAGCTACTATTACCATTGTAACAGGGGTAAGGTACTATTTCCATTGTTACAGGGGTAAGCTACTATAACCATTTTACAGGGGTAAGCTACTATTACCAATGTTACAGGGGTAAGCTATTATTACCAATGTTACACGGGTAAGCTACTATTACCAATGTTACAGGGGTAAGCTATTATTACCAATGTTACACGGGTAAGCTACTATTACCGTTGTTACAGGGGTAAGCTACTATTGCCATTGTTATAGGGGAAAGCTACTAGTACCATTGTTACAGGGGTAAGCTACTAGTACCGTTGTACAGGGGTAAGCTACTATTACTGTTGTTACAGGGGTAAGCTACTATTAACATTCATACAGGAGTAAGTTACTATTACCATTGTTACAGGGGTATGCTACTATTACCATTGTTACAGGGGGAAGCTACTATAACCATTTTACAGGGGTAAGCTACTATTACCATTAGTACAGGGGTAAGCTACTATTACCATCGTTACAGGGGTAAGCTACTATAACCATTGCTACAGGAGTAAGCTACTATTACCATTGTAACAGGGGTAAGGTACTATTTCCATTGTTACAGGGGTAAGCTACTAGCTATTACCATTGTTACAGGGGTAAGGTACTATTTCCATTGTTACAGGGGTAAGCTACTATAACCATTTTACAGGGGTAAGCTACTATTACCAATGTTACAGGGGTAAGCTGCTATTATCATTGTTACAGGGGTAAGCTACTATCACCATTCATACAGGGGTAAGCTACTATAACCATTTTACAGGGGTAAGCTACTATTACCAATGTTACAGGGGTAAGCTATTATTACCAATGTTACAGGGGTAAGCTGCTATTATCATTGTTACAGGGGTAAGCTTCTATTACCATTGTTACAGGGGTAAGCTACTTTTACCATTGTCACAGGGGTAAGCTACTATTACCATTCATACAGGGGTAAGCTACTATAACCATTGATACAGGAGTAAGCTACTATTACCATTGTAACAGGGGTAAGGTACTATTTCCATTGTTACAGGGGTAAGCTACTAGTACCATTGTTACAGGGGTAAGCTACTTTTACCATCGTTACAGGGGTAAGCTACTAGTACCATTGTTACAGGGGTAAGCTACTATCACCATTCATACAGGGGTGAGCTACTATAACCATTGTTACAGGGGTAAGCTACCATTACCATTGTTACAGGGGTAAGCTTCTATAACCATTGTTACAGGGGTAAGCTACCATTACCATTGTTACAGGGGTAAGCTACTTTTACCATCGTTACAGGGGTAAGCTACTAGTACCATTGTTACAGGGGTAAGCTACTATCACCATTCATACAGGAGTAAGCTACTATTTCCATGGTTACAGGGGTAAGCTACTATAACCATTTTACAGGGGTAAGCTACTATTACCATTGTTACAGAGGTAAGCTACTATTACCATTGTTACATGGGTAAGCTTCTATTACCATTGTTACAGGGGTAATAGTAGCTTACCCCTGTAACAAAAGTAATAGTAGCTTACCCCTGTAACAGGGGTAGGCTACTATTACCATTGTTACAGGGGGAAGCTACTATAACCATTTTACAGGGGTAAGCTACTATTACCAATGTTACAGGGGTAAGCTACTATCACCATTGTTACAGGGGTAAGCTACTTTTACCATCGTTACAGGGGTAAGCTACTATTACCATCGTTACAGGTGTAAGCTACTATTACCATCGTTACAGGGGTAAGCTTCTATTACCATTGTTACAGGGGTAAGGTACTATTTCCATTGTTACAGGGGTAAGCTACTAGCTATTACCATTGTTACAGGGGTAAGCTACTAGTACCGTTGTACAGGGGTAAGCTACTATTACTGTTGTTACAGGGGTAAGCTACTATTTCTGTTGTTACAGGGGTAAGCTACTATTGCCATTGTTATAGGGGAAAGCTACTAGTACCATTGTTACAGGGGTCAGCTACTATAACCATTGATACAGGAGTAAGCTACTATTACCATTGTTACAGGTGTAAGCTACTATCACCATTCATCCAGGAGTAAGCTACTATTACCATTGTTACAGAGGTAAGCTACTATTACCATTGTTACATGGGTAAGCTTCTATTACCATTGTTACAGGGGTAAGCTACTATTACCATCGTTACAGGGGTAAGCTTCTATTACCATTGTTACAGGGGTAAGCTACTAGTACCGTTGTTACAGGGGTAAGCTACTATTACTGTTGTTACAGGGGTAAGCTACTATTACCATTGTTACAGGGGTAAGCTACTATTACCAATGTTACAGGGGTAAGCTACTATTACCANACAGGGGTAAGCTACTATTATCATTGTTACAGGGGTAAGCTACTATTACCATTGTTACACGGGTAAGCTACTATCACCATTCATACAGGGGTAAGCTATTATTACCATTGTTACAGGGGTAATCTACTATTACCATTGTGACAGGGGTAAGCTACTATTACCATTGTTACAGGGGTAAGCTACTATTACCAATGTTACAGGGGTAAGCTACTATTACCATCGTTACAGGGGTAAGCTACTATTACCATTGTTACAGGGGTACGCTACTATTACCATTGTTACACGGTTAGGCTACTAGTACCATTGTTACAGGGTTAGCTACTATTATCATTGTTACAGAGGTAAGATGTTCTGTTGTGTTATTTCTACCATTTTCTATAATGGCTCCAGTTTCAGGAACATTCTTTTAGGATCCCTGTTCCACTGCCAAAAAACTGTACCTAAACTTTAAAGATTGTTTTTTTCGGCATTGCTTTAGCTTTGATGAATCATTTCTGAAAAGAAAAGTGTACGTTGTGGGACTTTTATGAAAAATTATTAAGATGAAGTGATTAACTGTGGATTAACAATGGCTAGCCTTACCAAATGTTTACACCCAGGACAACTGTTGGTGATTATATTTTGTTTATTCATCTTAATAATTTTTCATAAAAGTCTTGTATTTAGTCTCATGCTGATCTGTTGATGAATCTCACAAGGTCTCATATTCTCTCATGAACTGTTATCAACAACTTTGATTTTGTTCCAACAGATACAATAATTTTACGGGATCACGTGGCGGAAACTTCGGCCAAAAGATACCTGACCTGGCACAAATACAGACACTGGCATAACAAAGGGGATGGAATATTGGATCTGGGGGATTTCTGTGAGGAAAGCAATAATGTGTCGGAAGATCAGAACTGGAGCACTGTGGGACATGAGAACCAACCAGAGGAATTTAAGCTGAAAAATTGAAAACTGGAGGGAGATTTTTGTGAGGGGCACAAGAATTGAGGATGTTTTTTGATATATAAAAACAAAAAAGGTAATGACTTAAATGAACTTGAGGGACCTGGCTAATAATTTTGTGATAAACAAGAGAACAAGTTTATATACAAATCAGAAGCTGTGAAAATTGTCTGTATTACAGCCTATGTACTTTGGTGTGTCAAATGAAAAGTGCAGTAAATATACTCATTTACTCCTTACTGTATAGTAGTTAAACTCAATTATTTGTGTTTTGTGCTGACTTTATAGGAGTGAGGAGTAATATACATTGATCTACAAGGCTCAATGATGATGGCGTTGTGAATTAAAAGGAATTTGCAAAAACAAATTGTCAGTTTTGTGAACGTGTGTATAATGTTTGTTAACTGCTAATACATAACCAAATGTCAGAGAGTGCTGAGGTTATGAAAGTTCAATGATGTCTAATTCTCAAAACTGTCAGGTAGGGAAAATCAGATGTTTTATGATTGACTTGTAATTATTAGTACCATTGGATTATCATGGAGATTCAATTCTTAAAACCCTACCAAATTTAGTTGGTGTTCATATAAGGATTGAATGGAATATTTTCAATTTCATGCTGGTATGATTGCAAATCGGTTACATCCATATTCCATGCCATAGGCTTCATGGTAAAGATTTATGTAACTGATTGTGTTCATACCGCATGAACATTGAAAAAATGCTGTCAATCCTTATATTTACATATTTTTTTATTTTTTTTTTACCAAAATACAGATATTCCCTTATATTTCTGATATTGAAGTGCTTATGTTGTCAGTACAAACGAGATTCCTGAAACAGTCATCAAAATGTTTGCTTCTAGTGGTTGTCTCATGTTATTCAAGGCGGGAGGAGAAGCTTCAAAATGATGCTGATCCAATTGCATTCATAGCCCCGTGAATGCAGTTTCTTATGGTAATTGCTAATGCTCATTGACGAACTTGCAGTGGAAATGTAAATATATGATAGTTTGTCCAGTGCTACAATTGTATTTACATCTACAGTGAAACTCTTGCACAGTAATATATTCTACCTTCACTGGGTCATATTCATGTTTTCATTTTTACTCTTCATTGGGTCAAATGCATAATAATTTGTGGGCTTCAGTATTGATTTTGCCCTACACTGGTCAAAATCATTTTCATCTAAGTGTTAATTTTGCTCTTTACAGGGTCAACATTATATTCATCCAGTACTTATTTTGCTCTTTACTGAGCTAAATTCATATTTCCTGAAATATATTTTTAAGCCATTTTGTCATGTTACAATAGCATAGCTGTCAAACCTCCCTCATTAGGAGGGAGACTTCCTGATTTTGACCAACATTTACCAATCTCCCTCAAAACTTCCGGATTCAAGTCAAAACTCACATAAACTCAAAATCAACATCCTGTGATTAAATGATCTCCTAGTAACTACAGGGTGTGTGCAACAGGTGTGTCTGAATCAAAAGATCTCCTAGTAACTACAGGGTGTGAGCAACAGGTGTGTCTGAATCAAATGATCTCCTAGTAACTACAGGGTGTGTGCAACAGGTGTGTCTGAATCAAATGATCTCCTAGTTACTACAGGGTGTGTGCAACAGGTGTGTCTGAATCAAATGATCTCCTAGTTACTACAGGGTGTGTGCAACAGGTGTGTCTGAATCAAATGATCTCCTAGTAACTACAGGGTGTGTGCAACAGGTGTGTCTGAATCAAATGAATCAGAGAATTTAATCCCCAGCAGTCTTTGTGAAAGCCTAGTGCACTATCCACTGCACCATCAAACCACCCATGTGTTCCAGAGAACCTCCTATGGACGATCTGGGTGGGATAACAAAATATCTTGATAAGCGAGAATAAGTTCTGGAATAGCAAACACATTTACCATTTCATAAAATGGGCTTCCAGATCGTCTGTCAGAAAATGGCATTTGAATAATTTTAAGTTTTAAATACAAAGGAAAAGGAGATCCATCGTCCGTCATTTTAAGTTTGTTCAAATAAGTACCGTGTAGTTGAAAATTAGAGAAATATTTCCAAATTTGAAATACTATGACATTTCTTTAGTTTTTCCTGTTTTTGTTCAGTGGGACAAAAATGTTGAAAGAATTTGTTTGATGTTTTTATGATACTCTCAAAAACCTGGAACTCAAACAAAGATGGACTAGCTGAAGTCTAGATTTTTTGTTTTATATTTTGTTGGGTATAACATTTGTTTTATGTGTATATTTTGTGTCATTCCTTATGTTTTATATTGAAGAGCATGTTGTACCCCTGTCTTCATCCTAGACCCAACAGGATTGTAGCTCATCTGTCTGTCATTCTGTCCATCTGGGGCATATCACTCTACTGTTTCCCGTAGGATGTGTACATTAATTTTGGACATATTATAAGTAGGTCTTTCTGATCTGTATTTCAACTTTTTGAAAAAGAGCACAACTTGCATCATAGCATTTTAGAATACCAAACATGAAACAGGGACACTTCTGGGGAACAATGGAATGTTATATAGTAAAATCAATGTAGTTCATAGTTCAAAGCGACCTTTCTTGACCTTTGACCTTTATCAAAGTTAAGGCTTTCCCAAAACATAACTGCAATGCAGTAACACCTGACCGTCCCATATCTTTTTCAGTAGCCTTAACTAATTTCTGTTTGACAACTCCTTCAAACATGAAACAGACTTTGTACATGAAGATGTTGTCGCATACATAAAGAACTTTTTTTCTTCTAATTTTGAACATTTATCAAAATTAAAGAACAGGTATACACATGATGTATTGTACCATTTGACAAGAAGACACGGTATAGTTGAGTGGTAGGAAGCCGGGCTTGTGACAAAAGGGTTGCGGGTTCGAGTCATGTCAAGGCACTGTGTTGTATCTTTGAACAAGATACTTTACTCCGATTGTTCCAGTCTACTCAGCTGTAAATGAATATGTGGTTGGGCAGTGCTAGAATTGTAGACTGCTAGCTGTGAGCGCAGAAATGGCAGCATCGACTGTATGCTCCCCAGGGAGTTGATAAAGATATTAGCTTGTTGCAAAGGCCCAATAACTACGGATAATAATTTGTGAACCTCTTATAAGATGACCTACTAAATTGTAAATAGGTTGTGATAAAGCGGTATATAAGAACCTTGAATTATTATTATTATTGATTGGTGGGGCACTTTGTATGCAACATGATTTTTTTTTTTTATATCTGTGATTAGTTATGTATAATTTTCAATATTTGTTATACTCTTGATTATTGACTAAACTCCAATTTTAATCAATGATTTTGTATATGTGCAACAATGACGCCTAGCAGGAAAGTTTGCTGGGTGAAACATTCACCAGTAAGAGCCATAGTTAACCAGTGTTAATTTCACTATTCTCATCGGAAACATGCTTAATGAACTTTGTTTTCAAAATGGTTCAAGTTGAACTGTGACAGACATTTCTTCGTATATACACCACTTAACCCTTTCACCCCTATGTAACTTCAGTAAACTCTTCCATGAATTGCTTGGGATGAGTCTATTATGGTCTACAGTGGTGAAAGGGTTAATTAATAAGGTGTACATTGTCTAGCTGAGTATGTTTGTAATGTACTTGTTTCATATGATGTAGTGTAGTGGTAATATTGTGTTACATTTGATTTATGTACCCTTCCTACCTGTAATAACTGACTGTGATATTTTTAATTGCTTTAGTGACTATAAATTACGTGAATAATAAAGCAAAATCAAAGTTCATTATAATAAGTGTTGATTATTTTTGTTACATTCACTTAAATTGTTTATATATGTATAATTTACAGTTTTAAAAAACAACATGAGGAAAGAGGTGAGGCAATGCTTGCGTTTTGCGCTTTGAGTGAGTTAATAGTTCGAAAGTTCTCATATATTTTTATATTTATAATGTATAGAAATTCAGAACCACTGCAAACTCGAAGATTTTCGCACCATTATTAGATGGAACAGCCCAACACAAAGATTTCCACACACCAGAATTTCCTCTATTACAGTACTTACATAAATGTATTTTCATATTTTGCCCCTGTTTCTCACAGGAGATTGTCATCTCAACTTTCACCAAACATCTCCCCACACTTGGCTTTATTTAATAAATATATTCTGACTTGTGGCATTATAGCTCTTCCAATCTGACCAGGTCTTATACAATTGCTATACCTGTCCACTGACCACAAGTCTGATTCTTCCATGTGCCCTCTCTTTCCAAGATGTCTGCGACCTCTCTTATGACCCAATCATGTCGTAATCTGTAGTGACGTTATGTCAGTGGAGTCCTGCATGGTTAAATGTCATAAGTGAGGTTTATTTCTTCTATCAACGTATGTTAATCACTATTGCTGGCCCAGTCGGTAGCGCCTAAGGAGTCTTCATGTTGGAGGGAACCGAAGTACTCCGAGATTACCCACGTGGTTTGACAGGTGACCCTATAAATTCCGATCAGGAAATCGAACGCCTGCCGTTTTTGTGAATACAATCTTTTTAGTATTTTATCAATCCTAATACACGCCAAAAAATGTTTATTTTGTGATACCAGTTTTCACATACGAGACGCAAATTTAATAAAGGTAAAATTTATACCATGTCTTAACTCCCAAGGATAATGTCATATACCTCATATACCATAACTAAACACCAAGCTCATACAACACCTCAAACCTAGTAGATATGTCAGAGAGGACTCAATATGGACGGAGCGGATAGTTGGATCCCCTCATTGAATATATAGATGAACAGAATCCGTTATTCGAACTGTAAGTCGATAAAACTATGGAAAAAATCGAACAAAGGGAAACTTTACAGAAAGGCCTCTAAAAAAGAACAAAGATAACAAGACCAAGTGTTCCAGAAGGGTTAGCGTTTTCTGCTTCAGCAACGACACCCGCAACTGAATCTAGGTCAAATCCAAGTAATGTCACGCCCTCAAAGCTAAAGCAAAGAAGCTACAACAAAACAGGGAATGCTCATAAACATAATACCACACAGGGAAATAGATTTTTTCCAAATGAAATCCTGATTGCGACCAGAAAACTTGCACATAGTCTTCATCAATCTGTATCTTTCTAAAGCATGTGTTTTAAGTTTGTCCGTTCGAAGTAAATATGTCTCACAAAAATCATGACATTCGGAACAAGCTGTTGAAACGTAATCATTTACGACACGTTAACACCGTAGTACAATAAATTTACTTTCAAGAAAGGGAAAGCTCACGATGGAAAAATCGAAATCGTCACGCTCATTCCACAGTTTAGTAATAAGCCACCCAAACAATGAAAACAAATATATTTTTTTTATCGGCTTGTCAAATGCTATTACGTCTGAACAAGTTGGAAAGATTGGAGCATCATTATCTTCGTCTGTCAGGAGTATTATATAAGCTGTGTACGTAACTGGTTCTGTTTCTTTGACAGTGGTTGTAATAGGATCCCTGTCCCACTGCGGGCAAAACAGCAGGGAACTCCACTGAAATTTTCATACAGTTACCTCCCCTTAAATTCCACGGACACAATACTTTCGTTGACGTGGTTGTTGAGTTAGTTAGAGCGAGGGTATACTGATTGTAAGTCCAGATTTTAAGTCCTTGGCCCGTATTCATCAAACTATTCTCATGCTCAAGCATGGATTTTGTGCTCAAGCCTAATTTTTTGTTCTGATTATTTGGAGTGACTTAATGCCAAATACTGTTTTCAATATTTACATTTGACTTTTTCATTGTTTGACATGCTTTAAGCGAGGTACAAGAAAGTTGGTTTGAGCACAGAATACATGCTTGAGCATGAGAATGGTTTCATGAATACGGGCCCTGGTCTTGTCCCATTGCATTGTTACCTTAGGAAAAGATGTTTTTCTTTTTTTAGCTCACCTGGTCCGAAGGACCATGATGAGCTTATGCCATACCGCAGCGTCCGTCGTCAGTCGTAGGAAAGAAAGGATTTGTTCCATATTTGGTCTCAAGCATCCTTGGGTGAAGGGGAACCAATATTGTATAAACGGTGGGTCTGGCCCCCAAGGGTCTTACCTCCCTGGAGGCAGAGAGGCGGGGCCCAATAGGGGAAATAGAGGTAAAACCTTTAAAATCCTTCTTCTACTATATGGATTAAGGGATTTTATTCTAATTTAGTCTGGAGCATCCTTGGGCCAAGGAGACTCAATTTTGTATAAACAGTGGGTATGACCCCCCTAGGGGCATAGGGATGGGGCAGGGAAAACGTCAGTGCATAGTTAGAGTTTTGGCAGTGGTACGGGATCCTTAAACCACATTACAAAGCGGTGATAACTGCACTAACCACAGTTAAAGACGACCTTCAAACAGTTTGGTATGCTACTGCTTATCACAATAATAATGATAAAAATCGAGGTTCTTATATACCGCTTTATCACAACCTAGTTTGTAGATCGTCTCAAAGCGGTTCACAAATTATTATCCGTGGTAATAGGGCCTTTGCATCCAGCCAATAACTATCTCAACTCCCTGGGGAGCATACAGCCGGAGCAGCCATTTCGGCGCACACAGCTAGCATTCAACAATTCCAGCACTGTTCAACCACGTACTGATT